AATCAGGAGAGAAGTAGGGTAAATGGCCGATGCTACTGGACATAAGACAAGAAAAATGAATACACCTAGATTGCCTTTCTCGAGTCACAACATGACCAGAATAGCAGAACATTGCAAGAAAATTGGGAAAGTAGGACCATTTTCTACTACTTCAAAGTAGGAAAATAAACACTTACCTTCTCGTGCTATATTAGACAAGAGCCCCTACTGCTAGCTGTCAACAATCAATCATCAAGAAAATCTCCTTATGGTGCATTCACACATTAATTTCAAGACAACGATGCTGAAAAATGTAGAACGTGCTCAGATAAGTGAAGCCAGTAAAACCAGAACATTGACCAACCTAATCGCAGTGTCATGTCATAAACAAAGCAGGCACTCTCAGCAACTTCCAAAAGGAAGTTTGTTAGGATAAGGCATGAAAAGGAGTCTTATTTAATATCGCAGATGATGGCATATGATCAATTATAGGGTTTGTATGCTCACCTTAAAAGCCTAACATGGGTCATGCTAGGCATGGTTTCTGAAGTTCTAAGAAGCTGGGATGAAGTAGGAGTAATAGCTAAAAATAGGTGTAGGTGGAAACTCATCCTACCATGCATGAAGGTTCAGATGGCTACCAGATGTTATATGTGCATGAAGGAAGCAGAAACACACAACCACCTATTTCTACAATGTCAAATAGCAGCAGACTTATGGAGTATGTTTTTAGTTCCTTTTGGCCTCAAATGTGTCATGCCTCAGAATATCAGGGATGTTTTGATTAGCTGGAGTTGCTAGAAAGTTGATAGCACCATCAAGAGAATGTTGGAGGTCTCAAGTTCGAAACCCCTTGCCAGCGAAAGCAAGGGATTTGCCTTCTGGGTCGAGCTCGTCGCACCAAGCTTGCCTAGTGCGGGTTACCTCTCTTGTGTGGTTTGCGAGCTATTGCATAGCAACGGGGTTTTTACCCTGTGCGCACCCAAAAGGTAGCGGCTACGAGTTTGCCTTATCATCAAAAAAAAAAATCTGGAAGATGATACCTGCAGCCATTTTTTGGAGTATCTGAAATGAAAGGAATAGAAGATGCTTTGATGGAATATGAACTACCTACCAAACTTTAAAAGCTAATTGCCTCATGTTTTAGTATAGTTGGGTTTATTTATCCCCTCAAGATTCCCCTGATTCATTTTTGAACTTTGTCAGCTCCCTGACTCTTAACTAACAATGTAAAGGAGAGTTGATGTTTTGCAACTAAGCTTTTGTAACTATTATGCATCTACTTGATGCCTGCAATAGAACTAATTACTTCATCAAAAAAAAAAACTCATCCTAGCATGCATCTGGTGGAGAGTGTGGAAAGAGAGGAACTCCAGATGCTATGAAGGTGTAGAAAATGAAATGCAGAAGATCAAGCTTAACTTTATCTTACTGCTCTGTTTTTGGTGTAACCAGTTATACTCTAATGAGTCTATGTCTAATACTGATGTACTTGATTCAGTATAGATAGAGATAGAAGCATTCTGGAGTCCCTTTTGTAAATATGGTTTCACTACTACCTAAGAATTGTTCTAGATATAATACAATGTTAATGTTTATCAACCCAAAAAAAAAAAATCACCTGAAATTATAGTATAGCATTTAGCATATTTGAAATGAAAAAAGAGAAAATCAAAACACTAATAATGGCATGTTGATCTTGTTGATTGAAGAGTGGATATCTTCAACACATCCACTCACATGCGAGCCCGACCAATCAAGTATGTCGAAATTCTTTTTTGAAAAGGGATGGTGATGAGACTCGAAACAGGATCTCTACCTGTCCTAATACCATGTTAAAGTTGTGTAACCATATTATCTAAAAGATTAAGTTGTTAGCGGAAGCATACTTTTATTTATTTGAAATGTCTTCAACTGTAAATAGTTGATTTTATTATAACCACAAAGTTTAACTAATATTAATTTTTAAAAAGAACATACCCAAATACCAAAAAGCATTCATTGCGGAAATTAAGCACTGTTTATTTTAAAATGATCGTGGTGTTCCCAACTTTCGTGCACCTCGACTAATTCCACGGGATACTTGCCACCTCCCACCAGCAACAAGTACCCGAAATTAAGCACTATTAACAAATTACATTTAGAATAAGATGTGTTTTTGAAAGTATTACGTTCAAGAAAAAGATATAAGTCATAGAATTTACAAGAGAAGTATATATGTATCAATTGTCTCTTTTTTATATACAATATGGCAAGAGGAAACAAGAGCTCTTTTTACTTGTACCAAATATTATCTTTGTGAAGTACCACTAAGATGGAGTTTACATATTTACAATAGAGAAAAAAAAAACTCACAAGCTAAGGGTAATTTTTAACAAGAGGAAGGTCTCTAAATTTATCTTAATTAGAGCAGATACAAATGTAATTATTTGCACTAAAGAAAAATAATAAATAGTTGATATAATAGCTCAAGTAGTTAAGTCAAGGAGAACATTGATTTAAGGAATTTTTATTTTTTATTTTTAATGACCGTGACTTTCACACCTCAACTAATTCCATGGGACCTCAACTAATTCCATGGGATACCTGCCACCTCCCACCAGCAACAGGTACCAAATAACTCTATCCACCAAAGCTAGGATAGATGCAAAGAATCACCTAGTATTTTTTATCTCCGCTGGGACTTGAACATTGATTTTAGGAGTTAAGTGCTAACAACAATGCCACTAAAAGATAAACAATGGAAATAGAAAGGAAATCACCTGCTACCAAGTCAGATCCCAAATTAGTCACAGATGAATTCTGTCCCAAAATATAACCAGGTAATATATGTATGAAGTATAATCTTCACAAACAAAAAGGATACATTCTATGCTTTGTTGTGAACTGTTAAGCTTGGACAACTTTTCTGCCAATTGCGGGCCATCAAAAGCATCATCACCCATCCCTGCAAATACAAGATAAACATTTTTTTGATAATGGTAACAGACAAATACCAGATTGACATGAAAAATATGAATTAGGAAATCGATTTTATGAAGAATTTTATCAAAGAGAGCAGGTTCCAAAAATCAACAATCAGGAAACCAAGCAATCATAGGGACTGGCCAAATATTTAAGAATTTTATCTGGTCTCTGAGTAACACATCACATTTAATCAAATAACCCAACAAATTCATCTGTCAGAAAAAAGTATTCAACCTACATAGTTAATTCGTCAGGAGTAGCATGATTAGAAGGTATTGGCTTCGGACATCGCAGGATAGGCTGGACCCCGGTATCTTTCTTCTCTTTTTTTTTTGAAGTGTATGGGTCCAATTTTTAACTTGTATAACTATTGTATAAGGGAGCGTCTTCTTTATGTTTCACTATTACTTACTGGTGAATTAAGAGAAGACATATACTTGATTAAAAATCATGCTGAAAAGTCAGTATCAGCCCAGGGCCTGTCAATCACTCAGCAACACTATGCAACTATATTCCATGACCAACTCTTATGGGAGTACAAAATCGCTTAGGTGATTACTATGGCAAACCACCAAAGTTGCCACACAGATAGGTTAAATGCAGCTCCAAACACGAGGAAAAGTAAAATCCCAAAAGTGGAGGACTGAAGAATGAAGAATGTTTATCCTACATGCTTAACAAGACTTCTCTTTAGTTTTTTGAACTTTATTTTTCTGGATTCCAACTTGTTCGCGTAACCAAATTTGTTGTTGCTTTCTTTAGTTTTTTTCCTTTATTTTTATGATGGTGATGTCAAGATCACGTTGCACGCACCTCAACTATTACACTGGGTACCTGCTATTCCTCGCTAACATAAGAAACCGGGCCACTCTACCAATGGTGAATCAAACATATAGGAAAAATCGCCTAGCATTTTTTGTCTTCAGTTGGGATTTGAACCTTAGCCCCCTCATGATTCTCCACCCACTTCATTTTCCACCAGAACACACCCTTGGGTGTTTTTGATTGCTTTCAGAAAACTCTAAGGGGCAATTTGATTGGGAACAAATTATCCCATGATGATAAATTATCTTGGATAAGTTATTCTTTCATGTATATGGGATAACTTATACTATAACTAAGGTATAAATCGTGGGATAAATAATCTAAAGGACTGCATAATCCTCCAACCAAATGCAGGAAAATAGTTCTGCATTTTATCCTTGAGATTATTATACCTGATGTCTCACACCAAACGACTCCTAAGTAGTTTGTTGCACTTCCCATTTAGGATATAATGAGCTTTGGTAATTTCAATACCGCAAACAAGTGAACAAGAAACTACGCCTCAATACCAAGAAAGAGCTATATGAATCCTACTATGTCACTCCATTTAAATCATCTCAAATAAAGTATCAATATACTATAAAAACAGTCAAATCATCATTTTTCTCAAGTAACAGTAAAAATCATTCTCCTCCTTTTAACTTTTGTCAAACAAAAATGTACCTGACTAAGATAAGACGGAGAAGCCCAAAAAGGAAGTATATCCACCTCAGGTTTGCTGTTTCTGTAACAATTAAAGAGAAACCTAAACGGTAGAAATGAAAATTAAAGATAATCAATGGCAACTGTTTTTATGGACGCAAAAAGAAAGAGGAGAAGGTAAGCTTTACCTCAATTTCAGGGGTAAACCCTAACAGACCCGTGGTTCTGCGAGGGTGAAGACGGATGTGGAAACCAGTCTGGGCGGAAGCACAGTCCTAATTGGGGGAAAAAGGACTAGTATAATACAAAATTGAACTAATTTTGGGTCATATCTTTGGATTTTTTTTTCTCTTTATTTTTTTCTTATTAACTTGTATTTTGTAAGAATAATAATGCAATCTTGGAGCATAGTTTAGTTATTGATTTTGTATGATAAATAATATTATAGAAGTAAAATATCTGTGTAACTGTAAAATTAAATTATGAAACATGAATTATGTGTATTATATGAAAGGATTATATTATGAGTGTGCATTAATAGATAAGAAAATAAATTGGATCATTTTTTTATTTGTGTATGTCATCCTTGCGTAGGGATCCATTTCTTGATTTGTATGTGTCATTCTTGCGTAGGGGCTAATTTTCTATGTATCGTTCCAATTTTATTGGATGTCGCCGAATGGACCATTAATAGATAATATATTAACCTTAAAGTTTTTTTATGAATATAAGTGTCTTTCACTATGGGTTAGTAAGATACAATCATGGATCCGAATGTGGCAATTCTATTTAGGTTCTAAAGTTGAAAATTTAAAATGTTTTTTGATTCTACATAAAATTTAAAATTATCGCAATAATTGAATATGAAAGGGTATGTGTGCCACATTTTCCTAATTTTTCTCGGGTCTACCTATATCCACTCTCCTTACATCTATTGTAATTAACCTATTACCCTCTTAACTAGGATATTTGTGCATCTTCTCTTCACATATTTGAATCATCTCAATTTTACATCTCTCATCTTGTCCATTGTGAAGTTCACTCTTACCTTATCTCGTATACTTTCGTTTGTGATCTCATTTCTCGTAGTATCCCACACATCCATCTCAACATCCTCTTGTTTGCTATTTTCATTTGTTGAACGGTTTTTGACCGAACAAGATTTTGTCTCATACAATTTAGTTGGTTTGAACCACTGCTTTATAAACCTTACCTTTAAGGTTGGCTTGTAATCCTAGCTTACGTTTGGACTTGTGATATGAAATCATCATTTTAAATCAATATTTGGACATGCGATTGGGATCATGATTTAAAATTATGAGATTCCAAATTGTGATTTTTCATTATTATATATATATATGTAATTGACTCATAAGTTTATATTTTGTATTTTGTAAAAAAGATTTCTCATTTTAAATTTTGCAAAAAATACAACAAAAAAAAACACTTATGTTCGTCATTAGACGTCAAAATGGGATTAACGCATGGGGCCGACCCAACCCAACCCATTATTAGGGTAGGGTTGGGATATAATTTTTCAAGCCCATTTTAAAACTAGGGTTTATAAGCGCGGTCCATATAAACTCTTGGCCCTTGAGGCTTGATCGGGGCCGGGTCGGGGTTGGCCCATGGATCAAAACTTTTTATTTAAGGGTAACTTACAACGATCTCATTAGTATATAAGCTAGTTACCTAAATGAACGTTATGTCGTAATATTATGAATCTTACCAAATTTTGGTAAGTCAAGATATATGTATCGCAGAATATATGGACTCAAAATTAGATTAAATTGTTTTAGATACACTCTATCCAAGTGGATTTGCATGTATCTAGGATACATAGACAAATCTCGCGCCCTCACCTCCCTCCCATCTTGCTTGTCACTCTCTTATCTCACTCGCGTATCTGGTATGCAAGATACATGTTAATTACACTAGATTTTTTGCTAGTGTTATTGAAACAACAACATTGTTTGTCATATTTGTATTGAAAATCTTCTCATTTTCTTGATGTTACAGAATTTTAAGTTTGAACAAAAAAAGACTAGCCCACCCCAGCCCTCGACCCTTCTAGGGTTGGGTTGAGCATTTTCAAGCCCTTCTAAATGAATGGTCGGTCTTCCCTAGCCCTTCAAAATTCTCGACCCGTGAGGCTTGGGTCGGATGGGGGTTGGGCCGACCTTTTTTGACAACTCTACTCATCATGAAGAGATTGTATGTATCATGTGAAAGAATTATATTAATTAATTAGTACTAGAGTCTTTATAATTTATGTGAATTTGAAAGATTGTAATCACAAACATTCATTTATAAAAGAAACATAAAGTTATGCGATTTTTCAATGCGATGTCTTGAATATATTCATTCATACCAACACACTCTAAAAGGACATATTTTAAATAAATAAAAAATATTGTAATAGAATAAGTATGTACATTTTTACATAATAAGAAGTAATGGATAATATCAATACTCATATAATAGACTTCTAATCTAATAAATTAGATTTAGAAAAAGTATATTCAAATTTTAAATTGACTAAACATAATTTTAACTCCAACTTCAACTTTAAAAATCCCAAATAAAGTGAACTATATTTGATTTTAACGATCACTCCAACTTGAACTTTAAAAATCCCAAAATCAAGTGAATTATATTTGATTTTAATGGTGAAACACACATTTAATCCTAACTCTCCCGCGGATATGCTAGATTTTCGTTACTGCATATCATATTTCATTTGTAAATTTTGTGTAATTTTAAACTTAATCTAAATCAATGAATTTATCAATCAAAATTTGATTAATTATCCAATTACCGAAAAAGATTAAGAGTGTGTTTGGTATGAAGGAAAACATTTTCCGGAAAATGTTTTCCAATTTTCTCATGTTTGGTTGGGTTAAATGTTTTCCAAATCAACTCATTTTCCTCAAATTTAAGGAAAATGACTTCCCTTCAAAACTTAATGAAAACATTTTTCAAAACTCTCTTTCAACTTCCAATTAAAAAAAAAAAATTATTGAAAAAATCAATTTATTTGGTCCCTACCCTCAAACCAGCCCCCCAACCACCACCCAAAAAAAAATAAAAATTAAAGTTTGTTTTTAAATTCAATATTTTTACCCCACCCTCACCCCTACCCCCACCCCCTACCACCATCCCTCCCAAAAAAATATTAAAAGTTGTTTTTAAAAGATATTTCTAATTTCCATTTTTTATTTTTTTACACCCTTACCCTCGACCCCCCACCCCCTACCAGCCCCCCCCCCCAAAAAAAAATTTTAAGTTTGTTTTTAAAAATATTTTCGACTTCAAAATTTCATTTTTTCCACCCCCACCCACACCCTACCAGCCCCCCCCACCCCCCAAAAAAAAATTTAAGTTTGTTTTTAAAAAATATTTTCGACTTCAAAATTTCATTTTTTCACCCCTACCTCGACCCACCCACCCACGCCTTACCAGCCCCACCCCCCACCCACCCCCTACCAGCCCCCCCACCCCCAAAAAAAAATTTAAGTTTGTTTTTAAAAAATATTTTTAACTTCAAAATTTCAATTTTTCACCCCTACCCTCGACCCCCCCAACCCCCACCCCCACCCACCCCCTACCAGTCCCCACCCCTAAAAAAAAATTAAGTTTGTTCTTAAAAAATATTTTCAATTTCAACAATTATTTTCTACTCTAGTAAAAATAAAAGAAATTTTTCAAAAATATTTTTCATTCATAAATCAAACACTAAAAATCTTTTTCGGAAAATATTTTCTACTCACCAACCAAACATGAGAAAATAAGTCAAAAATCAACTTGTTTTCCAAGAAAACATTTTTCTTCATACCAAACACACCCTAAACCCCACTTTGAGTTGAATCTGATTCGTTAGAGCAATTAATAATTGCTAAACACCATTAGAGCAAAAATAACAATTAATTATCGGTAATGAAAATGTGCAGAACTTATGGGGGAGTTTTGGAACTATAAATTGTTGAGAAAGGAGAAAAGGGGAATTAAATGATCCGGTCAACTCTTCTTCTCGTTCATTGGCGCCACGTGTCATTTCTCTTTGTAGCTATAAATATGGCCAATTTATTTAGCCCACATATATATACACACATAACACACTCTATATCTAGAGAGCTCCAGAGAGAAAAGATGGATAATAATGTTGGTGGTTCAGGAAATGGAGGATACTCATGGTTCCCTCCTACACCTGGTAAGTTAATTCTCTTTTACTACCACATTCACTTAACTAGCTACCAAGTTTGAAACAGCACACAACATGGTTATTTTACTACTACTACATTCACTTAACTAACTACTACTCATGGTTATCACACATTCCCTCCTACACCTGGTAAGTTAATTCTCTTTTACTACTACATTCACTTAACTAGCTACCAAGTTTGAAACAGCACACAAATTAAAAATCTCAAGCTTTTGATGATATACTTTTTCATTCGAATTTGATGCAAATTGTTCTCGTGTCGTGGAAATTAAGCTACGGATGGGAGTGCCTGCTCATCTCAACCAAGATTCTGAATGCACCATTCAGGAGCAACACCGATTCATGCCAATAGCAAACGTGATTAGAATCATGCGCCGGATCCTTCCTCCCCGTGCCAAGATATCTGGTGACTCCAAACAGACCATCCAAGAATGTGTCTCTGAGTTCACAAGCTTTGTAACTGGTGAAGCCAATGAGCGTTGCCAGCGTAAGACCATCACTGCTGAAGATGTGCTTTGGGCAATGAGCAAGCTTGGTTTTGATGACTACATTGTAAGACCATCACTGCTGAAGATGTGCTTTGGGCAATGAGCAAGCTTGGTTTTGATGACTACATTGAACCCTTGACTTTCTACCTACATCGTTATCGTGAGTTTGATGGTGGTGAGCGTGTAACTTTGAGAGGGGAGAAGCGCCCAATGCTTGATCACCTGCTGCCTCCAATAGCTCATCACCATGCAGGTCCACCACCAATGGCCAGCCAACACTAGTTATATGCAGGGGGATGGGATCACTTCTCAGTGTGCTGTGGAAAGTGATGACTCTCTTACAGAGGAGTGATGTGATCAGTTTCTCTGCTGAAGGAATTGATTGAGCTGTTTTTGAAACTTCAAGTTTCTCTGTTACCTAATCTAGGATACTTCTTTGCAAAGTTTAGGAATGTTTCTTTCCAACTAAGTGAGCTGAATGGTGGCCTCTCCAATCGGTTGTTAGCATAGTATATAATGCTGCCTGGTCTATTTTGAGTATTCGGTTGGTGGTTGCTTGTGACTTGTTTTTATTTTGATGCAAAATCCTTAAAACCAATCTACACCTTCGGGCCTTAATCAATTTTCTGTAATGGATTACACAGTGCAGGAAGAACACTTAGCTAGGACAGTATTTTGGTCAAATCTATCAGAGAAAAAAAAAGAATATCATCTGTTTGCCATCTAGAAGCATAATACATCAAAATTATTCTTCCCAACATGCTTATGTACCCAAAAAGATGAGGAACAACACGAGGAAGAAACAAAGTCATATAGTGCAAAAAGAAAACTGAAGCCAAGCACCTTCTCAATAAGGCGAGCTTCACTATAATTGCCGTCTCTCCAGGACAAGTTCTGGAGAACAAAGATGATACCACCGACTATTCTGATAGTAGAAGCTTTTGAAACTTCAACTCTCAATGCACTGTCTTTTAG